AATTCTTCGCTCAGGTTAATTTCCATGCTGTCAGGTTTTGTCCTGCTTCATTTTTATAGTAATGCTTTATTTGTATAATCTAAAAGGTGCAAATCTAAACTTAAATTTGAAATTATGTGACATTCATTATTTATTGTACATCAAATTAAGTGATGATGAAAAAACCTTATAAAATGAATAAACAAATTTCTGTAAATAATAGTGTTAATGTTAGAGTGTAACATGTTACCGTAGCATGGCTTCGGGTTATTATTTTTATTCTGATTGCCTTATAATGGACTTTTTCTGCTGTATGATAAATGTGTTTCGATATTTTAGTTAGTATAATATTCGAAATTTCTAGGTCAAATCTGCTTGATATCTTTAGGAAATAAATTATCTACAATCCCCATCCAGCAACATGTAGATAACAACGTGTCTGGTGCTGGGAAGTTTGGAGTTGGACTAGTTGGAAGGGTAGACGATAAAGCGATTATAACATACCATAACTTCCTACACCCTTGTCATTTCAGATGAAGGGTCAACAGTAAGTCTTTGAAGCTGAAGAATGGCTTTGCTAAGTCGTTAACAATCTATAGTTATTTAAAGAACCGTTGTTTTCTGGAGAAAATCCTGAATTGAATGATTCAAGACTGATGAAAGATTGCTTTTTAAAAAAATGCTTTCTCTACGGCTTACTGATAAAATGGGCCAGATAACTTTTTTTGTTTGAGTGTTCCCTACATTATGCAACTAATGGGTGATTTTTTTGATAGTATCTTTTTAGCAACACTGTTTTTGACAGATGACGCGTGAATCATGTCTTGTGTCATTGTCAAACTTGTTCAGTTTGGTCTATAATTTAACCATGAATCGACTTACGAACAAACATCGCTTGCAAATTATTGAATTTTACTATCAAAATTCATGCTCGGTTAAGAGAGAGCATCGAGCACTGCTTCCAATTTATGGGCAATTTGGTCGGCCTACTGAGGGAGCTATTCGGAACCTTGTGACTAAATTTCGAACCCAGTTTACATTATTGGATATTAAACCACCAACACGCAGACGTAGAGTGAGGACTGAAGAAAATATTGCGGCTGTATCCGCCAGTGTTAGTGATGACCGTCAAATGTCGATTCGCCGCCGTTCGCAGCAATTGGGCCTCTGTTACTCCGCTACGTGCGACAGGATTTTGGTGTAATACCTTATAAGATACAGCTGGTGCAAGAATTGAAGCCACATGACCTCCCACAACGTTTCCAATTTGGTGAATGGGCGCTGGCAAAGTTGGAGGAAGATCCACATTTTTATCGACGAAGTTCATTTCTGGTTGAATGGGTACGTTAACAAGCAAAATTGCCCCATCTAGAGTGAAGACCAGCCAGAAGCATTGCAAGAGCTACCAATGTATCCCGAAAAAATCACTGTTTGGTGTGGATTATGGCCCGGTGGCATCATCGGGCCGTACTTCTTCAAAGACGACAATGGCCGGAACGTAACTGTGAATGGCGAGCGCTACCGTGCGATGATAAAAAACTTTAAATAAATATTAAAGCATTTATTCGTGAGATACCGGCCGATACGTTGGAGAGAGTGTGCCAAAATTGGACCTTGCGCATGGGCCATCTAAAGCGGAGCCGCGGCCAACATTTACATGAAATAATCTTTAAACATTAAATTATATCGACCGTTCTATCGACTCAAATAAAGATTTAATATATATTATATTGAGGCATGCCCAGTTTATGCGTGGATGATTTCGAAATAAACCAAAAATAAATGTTCGCTGTAGAAAATTGTTTAAATATACTGACGAATCATTATTATATTGTTTTATTGTTATGTTTTTTAAGTAATAACCCTGCCGGTTTTTCAAACGCATGTTAACTCTTAAGTTGAGTAAATATAACTGAGTTGTGAGTAAAGTCGTCTTTCAATATTTGTTTATCTCACACGTGTTCTGTGTTTTGAGGTTAGGCAATGCGGTTTAAGTACACAGCTGACTAGGCAACTCATAGATGTTTCTCTTAGTACTACCGTTTTAGAACAAACTTGACATTCCGACAATGCTGCTTCTGCGTCTGACCTATCGTATTTTGTGACGGTCGATCCTTATGCCTTGAGTCATCTGTAACAGTTCATGCCAGTGTCAAGACAAAAAGGTTAGGCGTTACAGTTTAAGTACAGTTAACTAATCTTTCCATAGATGGTCCTCTGGTTAAAGGTAACTACCGTTGTAGGTTGTAGGAGCAAACTTGACATTGCGACAATGCTGCCTCTGCGTCTGACCTATCGTATTATGTGTTTTTGTGACGCTCGGTGTTTGCCTTGAGTCATCCATGACAACTCATGTTACTGCCAAGCCAAAAAGGTTAGGCAATGCGGTTTAACTACAGCTAACTAGTCTACACAGAGATGGTTCTCTGGGTAAAGATAACTACTGTTTTAGGACTTAACATTGAAGAAAGCACGTAAACTCAACTTCCGGATGACTGTAACCTGCGCCTCTGTGATCACGCAGTTATCCAGGATGACACGCTCACAGGATACAAACACTAGGTTAACAAACTAGGCCCTTGATAGACGTGTTACTATCATTGTAGCATCAAAAAATAATAATGATGAGTTCAAAATGGGAAATGATGCACGATTTAAAAATGAAATACATATCTCTGTTATCCAATCATTGCTGCCTAGGGTGAGGGACACATAATGACTATTATGCCATATTAATTAGTCTATCAGCACTGTACTTTCAGCTCTTTATTTGAAGGTAAATATTAGGCATTAGAAAAAGGGAATGGTTTTGCTAAAGTTGTGCCTAGTTACTTCATGATCTATTTATGTCCATCAGTGATTCTATCTCTATAAGCACATTATACTCTGCTCTCATCGTCAAAATCCACTGGGTAGTACCTTCCGTCCCATAGACATAGTCCAATACCTACACAGGCAGCAATGAGGTCTTGCTCTATCTCTAATGTAATTCCAAGATTTTGTTCTCGCTCGACTCATGCTGATTTCTTTCTCTCAAAGTTTCCTGCACTATCAGAACTCATTTCTTGAAATCCGTCTATCCAAAAAAGACATCCGAGACCGGCTGCTGGCTTGCGGTTTCCAGATTAAGTGATTCAGAATAATAAAACCCAGAGCTCGTTGCGAGGTATTACCGCTGCCCTTCAGTTGATGGACCCTACAGCTTGACCTAGCTTGATGGAAATAGACGCAACATCAAGAAAGATTTCGGACCAGTAAACCGAATAATACCAAGTCCAGTGAGAAAGATCACTTTCTGATTTAAGAAAAAAATACAAACTTAATGAAAAGAAAATATTTATTACTATCAACATTTCTCCATTTCTCGTCGAATGTTGACTTTAAGCTCCTCCAGTCTTCTTGGATTATTGGAATACACTTTTGACTTTAGATAACCCCACAAAAAAAATCGCATGGCGTGAGGTCGGGTGACCTAGCAGCCCAGTGAATGTCTCCAAACTTCGATATAACTTTTTGACGAAAAAGTGCTTTCACCGTATATCTGGAAGTATGGGCAGTGGCCCCATCCTATTGAAGCCATGTGTTTCTGTTGAATCGACGTTCTCTTCTTACAATAGGAGCCAAAAAAGTGTCAATCTATCAATTCATGACCGTTTTCATCTTCAAAGAAATACGGCCCAATAATACCGCTAGAGGATATGGCGCATCAAACAGACACCTTTGGACTATGTAGCTGGTGTTGATGCTTCTCTTTTGGGTTCGTTGGTGCCCAATATCTGCAATTTTGCTTGTTCACATAAGCGTCTAAGTGAAAATGGGCCTCGTCACTGAAAACAACGTTCTCGTGTCTGCGCTGCGTAGGAAAAAGGTTTAACAACCGCTCCGCACCAGATTTCCGTAATACATAATCACTTTTCTTTAAAGCATTGATTCCCAAAGTGGTCTATACAGACCCCTAGGGGTATATGACAACCTGCAAACCAACCCTGCAAGGGGTCTACGTCAGCGAAAAAAAATTTGGGGGTCCGTGAAATGAATATGGGGGTCCACGATAATGGATCTCAACACATACACTGATAGTACCTATTTACTTACATCATACTATCTTATAATATCAAAACATATACATTATTTATAAAAGTACCTATGAAGTAAAAAGTTTATTATATATGTTTATAAAATTGTGTAAGTTGTAGGATGTTGGTATTCGCTTTGTGGTCGCAATACATTTTGAACTTGTAAAAATCTGAGAGTCGCAGTCTCAGAGCTTCGCTACCTTGCACTGACTTGTTCAATTCGTCACTCTATAAATACGAATGTGGGACAAATACGTTTATTCGTTTCCTGAATCTTGAAAAGGAAAGTGCTAAGAAAATATTTTAAAAAATATAAACAGACAGTATATCACACAAATTATAGTGAGTCAGTGTTATTTTGTTTGAGAGTGCTGGAGAAAAGTAAGTACCTACATTATTCTTTATTAAATTTTAGTCTTGTACTCGTAGTTAGCAAAGATAGATAAATTACGCCAATCATGATTTTAGTTATTAGTAGTTAAATATTCAATCATGCAAAATTACACAAGTACTCCTCAATAGTTTCTTTTTGAAAGTTTTAGCAATCGGTAATATAATTACAGTGCAATCTCCGTAATTCGAGCTAATTCTTGCAAGATGTTCGAATTATGAAATGTTTTCGGAAAAATCAAAAAATATTTTTAATATACAGCTGCTGGATTTTCTGTCTTATTTAAATAATTTAATTTTGCCCACAGATGACTGATGCCATGTCCGAATCTAAAAAGAAATGTAGACAGTACAGTGTTGATTATTTGAAATTTGGCTTCATTCCATCATTGCCGGACAAACAATCGCCTATGTGCCTTTTATGCAACAAAGTTTTGGGCAATGACGCTACGAAACCATCTAAACTGCAAGATCATCTGAGAAGATGCCACCCTGATAAAACAGAGAAAGATTTGAAATATTTCCAAACACTCAAAGATAAATTTCAGGAGAGACCTACACTGGACAGAATGTTCGCTTCGACCGACGTCACAAAGAAATGATGATGGTTTGCGGGCGTCTTACAATATCTCGTTACTTACAGCAAAATCCGGAAAACCGCATAGTATCGGAGAGAAGTTAATTTTGCCAGCCGTTGAAGAGGTTTTAAAAATTGTTTTACACAAACCTGCATCTGATATCATTAAAAGAATTCCCTTAAGCAACAATACTGTTGAAAGACGTATTGATGAAATGAGTTCTGATATTGAAAGCTTCTTATGTAATTATTTGCAAACGACTCATTTCTCTATACAACTGGATGAGTCAACTTTACCTGATAATGCAGCATTATTATTGGCATATGTTCGTTTTATTATGAATCAAGAAATCTACGAAGAACTGCTCTTCGCAAGAACTTTGATAACCGACACTAAAGGTGAATCAATATTTCATGTTTTGAAGCATTACTTCATTGAAAAAGCAATTCCTTTATCAAATATAATATCAGTAGCTACAGATGGAGCACCTGCCATGGTTGGACGTTTAGGAGGATTTATAACCTATTTAAAACAAAATGTGTCAGGGGTGTTAGCAATACATTGCGTCATCCATCGTTAGTTGCTAAAAATTTGAAGAATCCGAAGCAACGCGTTGAATACGCAGTTATTTGCGCAGTTGTGTGAAGAAAATGACGAACACTTTCATCAATTACTCCTTCACACTGAAGTACGCTGGCTGTCGAAAGGCTTATGTTTGACAAGGTTTTTTGCACTTTTTGAGAGTATTTTAGAATTTCTGGATACTAAAGATACAATTTTAAAAGAAAATTTAATGAAGAGGAAAACAGACATCGCCTATTTAACAGATTTGTTTACAAAATTTAATCACGGAACCTCTTAATCCACTTCTTCAATAGGTTCTTAATCGGGGCATCTCTTGGTCGGCGAATGTTGTATCGTGTACAAAATTTCCGAAGGGCAGCTGCGTATGAGTCACCACTCTTAAAGTAAGCCTCGACAGCAAAACCGCGTTGTGCTCCGGTCCAACGTTCCATTGTGACTATTTAACCCGCACGCCGAACGCGTCGATCAAGACCTCTCCCCACTTAGACGCGTTTACGGTTGCCGCGTAATTCAAATTTGAAATATGAACTTCCCCACTGGACACCCTGTACACTACATCACCAGATTCTGCAAACATACATACTTTTTGAATTACATTTCCAATTGAAACAGTCCACCGAACATTAAAGTAGTACTTTTTTGATCACAGTATCTCTATTTTTTACTCATCTATTGATGCCTGAGCAACCAGTAGACCTAGAAATGGAAAACCTTTTTCCTAACAGATTTCTATTGTTTTGTGTCTTGGCGTCTTCGGCCATTTCGTCGCATTGGTGTTTTATACCTAGTTTTCCATTTTTATGCACATTAAGAAGCTAATTACGGAAATGTTCAAAAATCATAACAAGCATTGTAACGTTATTGCCCACTGGAAAGATATAACCCTTTATTTACTTTGCGAAGTATTTCTCCATAAATCGATGATTTCTGTCGTATACGACCACACGGAGTCGATACCGACTACAGATAGAGATAGATAGATATTTTATTTGTCCACAGATCATGTCTACGCATGATATGGGATAAATCAAAGCGGTATCCTACACGGTAATTTACTCAGTACACGGGAATTTCTAAGCAAATTTCGAAATTCATGTCCTGAGTCATTGATGCTAAGTTGCATGGATTTATCACTTTTATTATATCAATAAGTATCTACACATATTTTAAAAGCAAAAATTTAGATAATATATTGACACATTAGTCTAAAAGTCATTCCCTCATCTCGTTCCTGGATCTGAAATTGATAATAAAAAAATATATACAATCAAATCTGTTCATATTCGTATAAATTGAATATCAACTAAAATATTTGGTGATAAGTATCGATTGTATAGTCAAGCTTTCATTGCTAAAAAATAAATATGTATATAAAAAATATATTTAAACTGTGTCCCTTGAAATAAAATCATTCCTTCACCCATTATAAATATTCGATTTGTGGTCACATCGTTTGATATTTTTGAAATCAGCTGTTATGTTTTTGAAACTTGGCAATACTGCTAATAATGTCAACATGCCGGAATTCCTTAATAGTTGCTGCAAAAAGGTATTGGATTTCAATAATTAGAACATTACATTTCTCTGTGTCATTACCTCACTGCTTATATTAAAAGGTAAGTCATTATACTGTTCGAATGTTTTAATGATTTTTTTCTTGTTTTAATAATAATCATATTTATTCACTCAATGTACAAAGATAACAAACAATATGAGTAAGTAAATATAAAATCAAAACAGGCCCAATAGACGGCATCGCCTGTACATGGACCAATAATTTAAGTTGAAGCTGTAGAATGCAAATGACAAAAAAGGACAAAAATTAGCTACAGTAGATTATGTATTTAGTTGATGTTCGTATTTATGAGTTTATGAATTTCAGTCCTAGATATAGAATGTAGCCACTTTTTTAAATTTCTTTTGAAACAATTTCCGAAACGTAAATCTTTTAAGTCTTTAGGTATAATTTCATAAAATTTAGGCGCTAAATAGAGATATGATCGCTGCATTATAGATTTATGCGGTTGAGGAACTACTGTGCCACGAATTTTGTACCTTGCATAATGATTATGTTTAATTTTTTGGTCGGTGTTTACAAATTTATGGTAGTGAGTGATACTGTGTAAGAAGTAAAGCTGTCTTATATCATACATTCGAACATCTGCGTATAATTTTTCAGTGAGATAAAGTGTCGGTTTTTTAAATATCTTTTTAGAATACTTTTTTGAAAAACATCTAAATTATAGATATGTGAGGAACATGCAGCTCCCCATGCTAATATACCAAATGTGAGATGAGGCTCAATCAGTGCATGGTATAATGTTCGAAGATATTTTTCTGTCAATATATTCCCAAGGTATTTAATTTTATAGGATACAAATCTAACTTTCTTTAAAATATAATTGACATGGATGTCCCATCGTAAGTGAGGATCCAAGACCACTCCAAGGTATTTTATGTTGGGCACTCTATTAATTTGCATTTTTTGATCATTAATGTTGAAGGAGAAATTTGTGTAATTTGGCAGATGTCTAGCATAAGATCCAAATGGTAAAAAATGTGTTTTAGAATAGTTAATGCTTAATTTTCTACTGTTAAACCACCGAATAATTTTGATAAAATCATTTTCAATTACATTTTTCAGATCAGACCAGTCAGTGCCTTCATATACGAGTAATATTGCAGTATAATCTGCAAAACTAGTTATTTTGCCAACACAATTAATTTGGAAAATATCATTTAAATATATATTGAATAACAGCGGACCTAAGACAGTTCCTTGTGGGACACCACACTTAATATACATTTCTTTACTAAACGATCCTGATATCTGCACAGATTGTAGGCGATTTGACAAATAATTTTCGATCAGTGAGTACGCGTTTCCTCTGAAACCAATTCTCTCCAATGCTTCTAATAATAATTTGTGATTAACTGCGTCGAAAGCTTTCTTTAAATCAACAAAAATGCAGATTGAAGGGATTCTGTTATCAATATTTTGTAGCCTTCCCTTCTGTAAATCCATATTGAGTTTCACTTAAAATTTTTAATTTTGTGAGGTATCGAATCATTCTAGTAGATAAAACTTTTTCAAAAACTTTCGCTCTTCTGGATATGATTGATATTGGTCAATAGTTGTTAACATCTGTTTTTGTTCCTAATTTATGTATCGGTATTATATTACCTTTTTTTAAAATTGAGGGATATATACCAGATTCAAAGCATTTGTTGATTAGGTAAGTGAGTGGTTCTGTTATGTCCTCGGCTATAATTTTCAAATGCTCGCTTTTAATACAATCGAACCCAGGACTTTTTCAATTTTTTAAGGACATAACAGTGGTGTATACTTCACATTGCTCGACTTTATCCAAAATAAATGAGTTCAAAGTTCTGTTTGGAGGCTGAGTATTTTGTACATTTGCTTGTATATTACTTGCTAAATTTTCGCCTATGTCAGTAAAGAATTGTACAAATTCATCGCATATCTGTTGAGTATTTTTTAATACTGTTCCCGATGTTGTATTTAACTCAGTGACACACTCTTTAAATTTTATTTTCCCAGTAATCTCATCAATAGTTGTCCAAAGCCGTTTAGGATCATTTAAGTTATTATTCAATTTATTTAGGTAATGTTTTTGTTTGGTTTGCCTTGCAAGCTCTATAAATTTATTGTTATATTGGTTGTAGCAGTCGGTATTCTCTGTAGTTGGCGTTAGTTTCATTACATTATATAGTCTTTCTTTTTCTATTGCCGATGTTATTAATCCTTTGGTAATCCAGGCATTTCTGCTTTGCGTGACTAATTATTACTTACTGTTTTGGGGAGTAAAATGCATTCACAAAATGCTAAATCAATTTGAGTTGATGTACTGTTGGTTACAGTGTCGTTTATGCAAATCCGTCATTCCCTCACGGTCATTCCCTCACGGTCATTCCCTCACTGTATTAGAAAGTGAGGCAATGAAAATTATATGATGGAATGAATGTTGCATATATAAAATTGTGGTTTGGGTGTTATTGTTCAACTCCAGGTTGTATAGCATGTGTTTTCAATTTTAACGTATATCAAGAATGGGGAAAATGAAGAAGTTAAGTGAAGAAGAAAAGAAATTAAAAAAGGAGTACGACAGAAAGAGGCGAGAACAAATGAAAATTAATGCTGAGTCTTTAGAACCTTTGCGTGAAAATGAAAGATTAAGGTATTTAAAGAAGAAGTTAAGTCAATAAGTCCTATGAGTGCAAGAGCAACTAGCCTAAACCGAAAACAATGGAAAAAGAATAGTAAAGTTACATTACAAACAAATTTACAGAGAAGAGAATTTGTCTGCTCTCAATAGACGTAGAATGCGCAGGCGGCGAACTATTCTGTTCGCGAAGATTAAAAGTTTGGAAAATAAAGTAAGGAACGCAGTCAAGCTTAGCGAAAAATATAAGAAGAGGTGTTTAAGATTGAAAACTAAAAATACTGAACCAAGCTCTCCAGCAACTAAAGTGTCTTCGCTTTTAAAGAATATACAAGTTCCTGACGTTGTAAGAAAAAGACTCATTTTCGGAGAAGCACTGCCAACGGATCGCAAGAATGAAGATCTTGGAAGTAAACATGGAGAAAAAAAATATTACCAAATGTTGAAGCTGCAATTAGTACAAAATATTCAAATTGCTTTATAGATCGGAACATTTTTTCAAAAGAGATACGTACAAAAAGAATGTTTTTTATTGAAATTCAGCATCAAATTGTAAAAATCATTCCCCCATCCTATCAGTCATTCCCTCATTTCATAGTTTTTTGAGTAATTTTTCTACATGTTCTACA